TGCTACAGCAGCAATACTAAAGCTTTATCTTGTCTTCACTCGTAAATCAAAGCGTCTTAAAAGTGAGCTGTGGCATGCCAATAAGCATGCATTCACTGAAATAAGTTGTTTGGGGAAGGTGAAAAGCATCATTTCCTCTGATTTCACAGGTATTTCCCTTATGCACCCAAATTATTGGGAAAATAGCTAATGCACAGAGGCCTCTTGCTTTCAAAGTGGTTATTACAAATGGACTAATGAGAAACAGAAACACTGGACAACATTTTACTGGTTGGATTTTACAGTGTTCTGCTTTTAAAGGATGCTTTCCAAGGACAGACATGACCTCCCACCCCACCCCCCACCAAAAAGAATAAAAATGACAGGTACAAGAAAGCCAACCTAGTTGCTTTGCCTGTGCTCTGAACTCATTTTCTTTGACTCATTTCAAAATGGTATAAAATTTTTACCTAAAATGAGAGCTACAGCTGCCTGAATTGGGCTCAGATTTTCTTCTATAGCTACTGTTATTCTGGGCAGACACTGAGAGATATTTGTACTTTTTAAGAACAAAATTCCCCAAGGAAGCCAGCCCTTTTTGGATTGAAGAAGAAAGTGAAGCAATTGAAGGTTATGAATACTCACTCTTTCTGAAATTCCAGAAATAATATATCTGATCTTTGACCTGCTTTTCATTAAGGAAAAAACGCCATGAATTATTTGGTTTGTTCGCTACCCTGATCAGTCAACTGAAAGATGGTACTACTTTAGGGCAATGAAATATATTGCCTCGATTTCATTTTTTTACTACATAAACTCTATCAGGTTTACTATGTGCATATATACTATAAGAAGAAAAAAATCACTGGGTTATAGCTTTTACAACTTGCAGTGTAATTTAAACAGCTCTCATCTCTTAGGAGTTAGTAGCCGTACAAACAGTTCAAGCTAAAAGTTAGTCAGCTACTAGGCCAAGTCCTTCCTGAGCTCCATTACAAAGGATGAACTGGTCCTGCAACATACTAAAACGGCAGAAGTTCTACTCAGACTGTATGTAAACACCTGGGCTTTCTGATGAGAAGAATCAATTTGTATCTAAACTGCTTTTATTTGCTACATTTTGTTCATTTTGATAATAAAATAAATCACTGCCTAGCTTAATGAATTATATTTATTAGCAGCAATATTTTTTCTTCTGTCTTTTATGAAAGATAGTGGTAATCAGACCTACACTGGTTTATGCCCAGGGCCAAAATTTATCTGAGAAAGTGAATAAATGGGCAGAGAAGTAAAAGGACTTGCACTGTCCCAAAGAAAGCTCTCAGCATTCCTGAGAGCAGAGAACATACCCACAAAGCCACTGAAAAGGTGACATGGGTCTGAGATTGTGCTCCTGCTATTATCAGGCAGCAAACTGATCAGTCTCTAGTACTCTGGTATGATTTGAGGAAACTTTTGAAAACTGCAAAGCACCATTTACAAATAGCAAGAACAAGCATGCAAAGATATCCTTGAAACAATGAGATAAGCCACAGTTAAACTTTATGGCAACTATTCCTCATGAATGTACTGAAAGGCAGAAGCAGGCAAGCCCAGAATTATGCCCATGCCAACCAGCTTGCTAGGAATGTCCTTGGTAGGAAAAAGTAATTCAATAGTGGAGACATGGATATCACCCTCAGTTCATTGGTGTGGCTCTAGTTTAGGCAGTGGTTGTTTTTTCTTTGTGGAGTTTGCTTCTTCTCTTTTTTTGTTTTGTTGTTTTTTTTTTTTTGTATCCTTGAATTATCCTTTTTACTTAGGTTAAATAACTTTGACATAGTATCTAAAGACATACATTCATTTTTCTTGCAAGAACTTTTTCATTCCTTGTCCTTGTGTGTAGGACTACAGAGGTAATGTTCACCTATAAACAGTTACCTGATTTTAGACACTCATTCAAATAAATAATTTGCAAGAATCCCCCCAAGAGACCATTTAGCAACCTGTTCCCCTGTGATTCAGCAATTTTTCCCTTTTTTCTTGCTTCCTGTTGGAGGTGGGAGGCAACATGGGGCAGGTGAGTCACCACTCATTAGGTGACTTCCGCAAGCAGACAGGTTGGTAGAGTCCAATTCTGGCTTCACAGAGGCGGTGCGGAAGGAAGCAAGTAGACAGCCAGAATAATTTCTTCCCTCCCCTTCAACATATCAGGACAGAGCTGGTCAAGGACAGCTGCTGAGCAAATATCACAAGAAAGGCATAGGGCAGCAGGGATTCATAGACCACAGATGTGAGTCATAGGTCCAGGGATGTATTTCTGATATGTAATCACTACAGTTCCCCCTTACTGAAATGTCCATTCAGCCATCCTCTCAGGCTTCAAGGGTAACAGCTTGTTCGAATGTAACAGAATGTAGTAGGTCCTTCTTACCATTACCACCAGCTCAGAATTGACTTCCAAACTACTCCAGTAAATCCTACCTGGCATCTCCAGCTCTCCTTGATTCTGGCCCTTCAGTTTTGTTTCACTTTGGTCTTCAGTTCTGGCCAGCATTTGCTCTGATTACTGAATTGCACTTTTGAAGTCGGCCAATGCTTCCCTCCATGAATTACCTCCTTCTCAGGCACTCCTAAGGGGTTCTTCCAGGGTTTCTCTGTTACCTTGGGACCACTGAGCGAACAGGGAGCAGGGACTGGAAGGTGAAGCTAAACATTTCCATAACTTGAAAAGTAATTTTAAGAGAAGCCTTGGAAGGCACCCAGAACCCAGGTAACTAAACTTCTGCTACACAGCAAGACAGGAACAGCCCTCAGTTTCTGTCAGTGCCTGCCCCATTCTCCCACTTCTTCCCCTCTGACCATAACAATTGCAAATAGGTTGCTGGCGACCCCAGCTGTCCTCAACCTGTTATGTTGTCTGTTAGTCTTAGGAACATCCCCATTAGCAGAAAACAGGAAGGAGCACATTCTCAACTGGAGGAGTCAGTCAGTAGCCTTCCACAAACAGTTCTCAAGCAAACAGTACTCACAAAGTACAGGCAGCATGGACAAAGTGCTACCAGTAGAACAACACTAACTGCAGAATCCAAAACTTGGTTTGAGCTGGGCTTCTACCTGGAATCAGAATCGTTTGAGCGGGAAGGGACCTCTAAGCCCACCCAGTCCCAGCCCCCTGCTATGGGCAGGGCTTGAACCCCCCCAGCTCAGGCTGCCCAGGGCCCCATCCAAATTGGCCTTGAGTGCCTCCAGGGATGGGGCACCACAGCTTCTGTGGGCAGCTGTGCCAGTGCCTCACTGCTCTCCAAGTAAAGAATTTCTTCCTAACACCATGCCTAAGTATTTCCTCTTTCAGTTAAAAACAATTATCCATCCTGCTATCGCTACAGGCCCTAATAACCCTCTTTGTATGTGCAACACAATATTTCTTCCTTTCTCCTTACACGTTTGCATGCTATTGTGTTCATAGAAGATGAAAGCATAAACAGTGTGTCAGGTTTCATTTCACTGTACTGACAGAAATACAGTAGAAAAGCCATGACATTACACAGTGCACAATCCTTAGCTCCTTAATTTCTCCTTCTTGAAGGAACCCTCACTCAGGCAAAATTTCCTTTCGCACAGGTTTCGGGATGGGCTAAGGATTTTCTTAAACAAAGAAAAGGCTGCCTTAGCACTCCACAAGAACAAGTTTTCTCCCATGCATTTGGGAAAATTTGCTTCATTACAGATGGGAAAAGCACATGATTGCCAAGAAGTGATGGGGTTGCTGCCCATGGGAGTGCTTCTTGGGACAGTGGGAGGTCTGGGCTGTAAATCGATCAGAACAAGCTTTCACCATCAGAGCCAATTTTTATCCTTCTCTCCTTTCAAAAAATCTAGACGTCATATTTTCAATAACATATATACGCCAACAAACACCAACCGGACTCACAATATACAGCTGAGAGTCATATCTAATACACACGAGCACGGGAAGTCCTTCAATTCTTTGTGTCAACCCAGAACCCCCAGCCATGCAGTGAGGTGGCTCTACGAGATCACCACTATTGCTGTACCAAGACCCTCTCCACACCTTCACCCACCTTCTGTTGCCCCAAGAACTTTCCATCCCAGCACCACGTCCTAAAGCTAGCAGGTGACTCGGGGCAGCCCTGTGGAAGGACTGCAACGTTCTGCCAGTGCAAAGCACTGGTGGGGTGGCAGTCATGGGACAGAGGAACAGAGCGGGTTGTACTGCATGGGGAGTTGCAAATGTGCACGAATGAGAAAATGTTTGAGTTTGTCCGAGTTCTTGTTTCAACTATTTTTTTAACAAAGGGTAAATATTTCATCCCTCACCGATGCTTCTGAGGTCCGCCTAGAAAGGTAACAGGTAATTAATTGCATATAATTGCACTGATCTGCAAGCAATGAGACAAACTGCCCCAGGTATTTGTAACAAAGACTCCTAGATAAGATAAGATAAACTCTTAATGTTTAAAGCCTGGAAGAATCAGGGAGCTCCATCTCCAAACTCAGTACATCAGGGAAGAAGAGCTGAGGTTTGCCGAGTAGCTCACCCGTACCCAAAACTAGAGAGGTCACAAAGACATCGCACGGTGCGCGCGCCCCGAGAGGAGGGCTCGCCGGGCAGCAGCGATGGCTCCGGGCGGCCCTTCAGACAGAAGCTCGAGGGCTCCTTCTGGAGAAGCGCAACCGGTTGGGCTCGGATGAACACCGCTCGGCAGTAACAATTCACACCTGACCAAGCGCAGCGCAGAAGGAACAATCCGCAAAGAGGAGAGCAGCCAGAGCAGCGGTGCGACGACGGTCCCTGCGTGGCATCCTGCGGTTTCGGTACCCTTACGGTTGCGATGCCCAACAGCACGCACCGACCGCCCGGCTCCGGCGGTCCGCACGCGCTTCTCCCCGGCTGCGCGCTAACGCCGCGCGCCGGCGGCGGCAGTTCCGCGCTCCCTCCGCCCGCTCCCCCGCAGCTCCCTCGGGCACGGCCGCTCTGCCCCGGGACACGCCGCGCCCGGCCCCGGCCCTAGCCTCACCTGTTCAGCACTTTCCTGATCCGCTGGCGCACGCCGTTGGAGGGCGCGGAGATGCCGCTCCTGGCGCCACCGCCCTCGGCCGGCAGGTTCTCGATGGTGGCCACGACATGGTTGGGCTGCGGCGGGAGGTGCGGCGGCGGCGGCGGCTGCGGCGGCGGCGGGTGCCGGGGGTGGCGGTGGCGCTCCGGGGAGAGCATCGCGGCGGGGCTGCGCCTTAGCGGCGAGCGGAGAGCATCCCGGCCGGTGCGGCGGGCGCTGCTGCTGCTGCCGCGGCTTCCGGGCAGAGCCGGACCCTCGCCCGCTCCTCCCTCACCGAGCTGCCATGCAGCGAGGGGCGGGCTGCCGCCGCCAGCGAGTGCCGCTCACGCTCTACGGAGCGGCGGCAGTTTGGCGACACTCCTCCCGCCGCCGCCGCCGGCGCCCACACCCCCTCCGCGCAACCGCTCCTTCCCGGCTGCCGCGCCGGCCCGACCCCTTTGTTCCAGCCCGCCGCCGCCCCGCGCGCCCCGGCGCTCCTGTGCAGACCCGCGGCCGCGTGCGGCGGCGCCCGCCCCCGGGAGCGCTGCAGCAGCCTGGCCGCGAGGGGGCGCCGCAGCACTCGGCTCGCGGCTCTCACGCCGCCCTCAGGGCGCCGTCGGCCCGAGGCAGCATGGGGCACGAGGGCTTGGGGCAGGGTCGTATGGGCTCGGGCTTTGCTCCGCTGCCTCCTCTTCTTCTCGTAAATTTCCTTTTGCCTACAGCTAGGCAACACGGTATTGTGTTCATTTGCTCCTGCGATGCTGAGTTCTTAGGAATTATCACATGCTTTCCCCTCAAAACACAGCGTGGCGTCTCCAGTCTATTAGGAAAGTGTAGATAAAACACGCTTCTAGAAAGCTCTCTGGCTCTCGCACAGCTGCCAGGTTTGGAGCTGGCATCCAGGTGGGATTATCGACTCTGGAAAGTTCAGCTCTGTGGCCCTTCACGGAACTAGAGCAAAAGCACTCTAGTGACCTAGAAGTGACTGAGACCTGTGAGTACATCTCTTAAGTACTAGAAATATCTCTGAAAATAAATAGGAGGAGGTTTTAAACTCTCTATTCTAAACTATTTCATTTAAAACTTCTAATTAGACTGTCAGATAAGCTTACGTGTATACATACTTGTTAAATCAATCATATATCTGAAGTGTCAATTCTTTGAAAGGGTAGACAACAGCAGGACAAGGGGAAATGGCTTTAAGTCGAGGGAGGGAAGGTTTAGGTTGGATGTCAGGGGGAAGTTCTTTACAGAGAGAGTGGTGAGGTGCTGGAACAGGCTGCCCAGAGAGGTTGTGGATGCCCCATCCCTAGAGGTGTTCAAGGCCAGGTTGGATGGAGCCCTGGGCAGCCTAGTCTAGTATTAAATGGGGAGGTTGGTGGCCCTGCCTGTGGCAGGGGAGTTGGAGAGTCATGATCCTTGAGGTCCCTTCCAACCCTGGCCATTCTGTGGTTCTGAGATTCTGTGATTCTGTGATATGTCACCTTATAATTTCACAAATAAATTTTAATTCCTGTAATTTAAATATGTTTGAAATTTCATCTTTTCCATCCGGTTGTTCCTCCCTATTTATTTTTGTCGAGTTCCTTTCATTACTTTCCTATTTATGTGAAACCTGCACGAAGCCATTGAGGTGAGAGGAGCATCTGCGGAAAGCGGGGAAATGCGGCGATAAAACTGTGGAGTGTTCCCCAAGGAAATCAGTTAGACTCAATACTTGAAATTACTTTTGCTTTTTTTTTTCCTTCTTAATGACTAGATTTCAGGTTGGTAATGTCTGTTTATGGGAACTATTCCTTTCGCCAATATTAATTTTTAATACTTCAGCTCACTCTGAGCACCTCAGCAGCTTACATCTAACAGGTCTGCAGACGAGGCCCACTGAAGCAAGCTGCTGTGCCAGAGGAATGCTTTTGAAGATGTGGATCACTCACTGGAAATCCTCTAAAGTTCATTCTCAGTTCTGGGCAGAAAGCCAGCTGTTTTCAGCACAAACCAAACCCCGGTTGAATCGGATTATGCTGCTAAAAAATCCTCCTCTCTCCTTTCCCCCTCTGGCAACCGCACACTTCCACCAGCATTGGAAAGATAAGGTCTGCTCTCCTCTAAGCCTTCTGGGAGGAACAGAGCCCAGCAGCCCTTTGGGTTAGGCTGCAACTCCCCAGCTCCCACACCTAGCACATTCCCATTCACGTTGTAGTGCCCCACATTCAGCTATAGCAGTACCCAAATCCGCGTCTGGGTGACACCACCAGATATTCTGGAAATACTCTCTGCCTGTGCGACATTGTTTAGATAAGGAATACGCTTGCTCTTTGTGCTCGGTGGCCTCTTCAGACTCATCCAGCAGCTGAGTGGAGCAGAACAATAGTGTTTGTGTAGCCTCATTCCTGCTGATTAAGCCACAGGCATGCCTACCTGCATCAACTTGGGCGCTGCAGTATGCGGGGTGTTGGTAGGAGGCTGTTATCTTTGGGGCAGTCACCTTGCTTGGCAGCCCTCTGTTTCCCAAGGCAGAGGGAAACCCCAGGCCCACTGTCTGGTGGTATCAGCATTGCAGTCAGTAGTGGCTGAGAGCAGTGTGTTTTAATGTTTTAATAATTATTCAAGAAGTTGTTCGCGTGGCTAAATATCCCTTGCAGTCTGAGCACTCTTGGCCTGATTTCAAAGACAGTGTTATGCGTGTTCAGCTCCCATTAGAGCTGTTTCTCAGCTTGATGACATTCAACTATGGAACGTTTTGCATCTTCATTAATATAATACTGAAATTAATTTTAATGAAAGATAAGAATAGATTCTGTATAATTATGAAAATATACTTTGTTAAGCATTTAAACCCACTGACTAACAATCAAACAGGCTAGGTGTAGGTCTTATTACTTTTCTTTGTGGCTTGTGCTGAAGAAGTATTTGCCCTTCAAACATCAAGCCCATTTTTCAGTCCTGGCTTTCCAAAATGATCACAAGTTGAAATCCAAGTTCTCAAATGCACTGAGCTTACTCCATCTTTCTGGTCATCAAAGTCTTCCATGAATAAAAGTACCTTTCCCTCACCACCTGAGCTCACAGAGAACTAAAGCCCTTTTTACTTATGAGTTTGCCAACTGCATCCTGAGCTGCATCAGAAGAGAGGTGGACAGCAGGGAAGTGACCCTTGCAAGGCCCAGTTTGGAGAGCTGCATCCAGGCCTGGGGCCCCCAGATCGAGAATGATGTGCAGCTGTTGGAGTGGGTCCAGAGGAGGGCCATAAAGATGAGTGGAGGGCTGGAGCACCTCTTCTATGAAGAAAGATTGAGGGAGTTGGGTTTGTTCAGCTTGGAGAAAAGAAGTTTCTGACAAGATATTGTGGCCTTCTAGTACTTGAAGGGAGCATATAAGCAGGAGAAGGACTGACCTCTTTTTTACACAGTCAGATAGTCATAAATCAAGGAGGAATGACTTTAAAAAGCCAGATTAGATAGGGCTCTGGGCACCCTGATCTGGTAGCTGGCAGCCCTGTCAATGGCAGGGCATTGAACCAGACGGACTTTAAGATCTCCTCCAACCAGAGCCATTCTATGATTCTATAATTTCTGTCCATAAGTGCACAGGAGTCTGACCTGTAGGTATGCTGCTTGAGACCTGGTCAGGATCTGGAAAGCCTTGCAGCAGGACCAAAGACTGACCAATAATTAGAGGGACAACTGGCAACCAGAAAAAAAACTTATAAGTTACGGTGGTAACAACAGAAATACTATTAAGACACAAATGGCCATCTCCAGGTAGGTTGGATACTCTCCCTTGGTGTGGGGAATCGGGCTCTCAGTTGAGGCAAATTTTTGCCAAACTTCAAACTCAGCCCTTCCAATTTCAGCTGAATCTCCTGGAATTGCTGAAACTGCTCATCTATAATACTCCCAGCATCCCTTGTTCCCAGCTAGTGAACACCATGCAAGTAAAGAAACCCAAATTCCATTGGCTACAAACACTGTCCTGGCTTTCAGGCAGGCAATGGGTCTATTGCATTACATTTCTTCAGGAATGGGAAAACTGAGGTACTGAAGCATCTCTAGCCAGCATTGGATACAGGCCACCTCTTCTGAAGTAAGCACCAAGGGAAAAACTCATTCTCTTTCATTTGCGTCAGTGATTACTCTGTACTTTGGTTTATGGTAAAATTATACTTGGAGTCATTAAAATGTAATATTTGTATTTATATAATGATTTATATTAAACATTTTATTTGATACAAAGATTCTTTGATTATTATTAATCAAGTGTTACATTTGCATTTGATTTTGTACCCAAATTGAAATAGTCACAGCTGGAGGGTGCAAGTCAACCCTTGCTTGGGGTACTTTACAGCAGCATCACCTGGACCAACCCTAGCATAGAGCTGAGATTCATCTTCCTTGCCCTTGTGAGACATTCTGAGAAGGTCTTCATACTGGTGGTGATTTGGAGTGAGTGCTATTCTGAGTCTGTAGAGCTTCTGCCTGGCTTTCTCAAGCCTAGCCCCAGTGTCTCTGTACACAGCACTGTGTAACAGTGGTAACAGACTGTTGTGCTGCTAGGGGACAGGCAATGGCAGAGAGGCCAGGTACTGGTGTACACAAGAGTTCTCTATTTGAAATCCTTCAAGCCTCTTATCAGGAAAATTTTTATTGCAAAAAAACCCAGCCTCTCCAGCCATCCCCAACACTTCAGTAAGATACAGATAACTGACAAAGCAAGAGGAAGAAAAACATGGAGGTGTGCACACTGAGCTGCTTCTCCCTCCCCTCCTCACTGCCCTGTGGCATAGGCAGGGAGAGACACAGCACCCAGATCACACACAGATGTGGGAGGCTCTGGGTGACAATGTCTATTTTTCACATCCACCACAGAAATACTTTATTTTTCTCATTAGTTGCAGAGGGGAATATACCAAACCGACAGCAATATTTTTGGCTCTTGTAGGGGAATATTTACACGCATACATAGAATTACATTGCAATATCACTGGTGTCTGAAACCAAGCAGCTGAGTCCATATAAAAAAGACAGATTATACAATACAGAAAAGGTAAAATTAAATTGAATTTATCAGGTTCCATCACCTCGGGTGAGCAACAAAGACACAATCAAAAATACAATAAATAATCTGTGAATACCTCAGCTTACAATTGGACAAGGTTCATGGCCAGTTCAAAAATAAAGCA